ACCTAAGAGAGAATTATTAATAAAGAAAACAATATAGAAAAGTTTCACTGGAGATAAAATGTTTTATTGATGTACACAGATTTAATCTGGATAACAAAGTAAGTTTTCTCAATTTGTTGCAGTTTCATAAAACTTTTTGTATTTTTGAAAGAAATTAATAAACCATTGATTCTGTATCAACTTTTTTCTCTCCTAGGTTAAATTGATCAGAAAACAAAGCACGGCTTCATCAGGTATTTTAGTCAAAGTAATAAAATCTAATTTCTCTTTAAGCTTCAGTTTAGTTTTTCAACATTCCTGTTAGACATTAAATAAAAACTCGATTAAAAATTAATCTGTCATCGTGAGTAAAAACATTTATTTAGACGTTACGATGATCTCAGTTTGACAGATTTTAACTTCAGATGTTTTGGCGTCTCCAGCTTCTCCAAGACTAAAATAAGGGAAGAGTTTCTCAGTGAAAGTGTCTCTGTGAGTGAAGATGTGACTCATGTCTTCAGAGTCGTAGAAGGACACCTCCCCCCTGTCATAGTCCAGCTGGACCCTGATCCTCTGGAGACTCTTCTTCACTCCGAGAGTTTCACCATCACCATTAGTGTATTTTCCATCTTTATACAATAAACACCAGATTCCATATTCTGGTAAAGCTAATATCTTTCCCTTCCTGTCGACTGAATCTTTAACCAAACCGATCAACCAGCGAGGATGATCTCCCACCTCCACCTCCCAGCTGTGTTTCCCTGAACTGAAACTCTCAGAACCAAAAACACTGGTGTAATTAGTGTTTCTCTCTGGATTATCAGGAAGCTGCTGCTTTGTGTCTCCACATCTCACACTGGTCAGATCATCAGACAGGTAGAACCAGCCACTCGCAGTGTTTGGGTCCAGAATGACAGGACTGAAGTGGACCTTGTCCTTCATCTTGTCCCAGACTCTGAAGGACAGGTTGCCCAGGTGTTGGGCCACATCTATCAGGAGTCCTGAGACCAGCTGTGGATCTGACAGTGAGCTCTGGGTTCTGGCTCTGGTCTGAGTGTCTTTATAAGTGCTGAGGAAGGACACGTTGTCTTTCTGCAGGTCTTCTTCAACAGCAGAGATACTGTCTGACAGAGAGGAGATGTGCTCCTGAATCCTCTTCATCTCTCTGCTCATAGTCTTCCTCGTCTGCTCCTCTTCCTCCCTCAGAGCTGCCAGTCTGGACTCCTCTTCCTCTCTCAGGAGCTGGTGGAGCTTGTTGAACTCTGCTCTGATCTGTGTCTCTGTGGACAGCAGCTGCTTCTTGGAGAGTTGGATCACATCATTGTATGTTTTCTCCACATGTCGGTGTTTGTTCCTCTTGTCCTGCAGAGACTTTAAGTCAGATCTCAGCTGCTCCTTCAGCTCATTGACTGCTTGTTGTACAGGAACCACTTTGTGGTTCTGGTGGAGAGAAAACTCACAGACAGGACACACGGCTCTCTGCTCGTCAAAACAGAACAGTTCAGGATCTTCTTGGTGTTTGCTGCACACCACCTCCACCTTCTTCTCTCCTTTTTCTGCCTCAGATGATCCAGATTTCTGTCGTCCAGCAAAACAATCAGCAAGTTCTTTTAAAGTAAAATTCACTACAAGATCCTTAGAAGATCTTCTTTTACAGATGGGACAGTTCTTGTTCTGAGTTTGTTCCCAGAACTTCTGCAGGCAGCTTGAACAGAAGCTGTGGCTGCAGCTCAGAGACACAGGATCTTTGAAGGTCTCTGAACAAACATGGCAGCTCAGGTAACTCTGAAGAACTTCTCTTTCAGCCATTTCCTCCAAACTTTTCTTGCTAGTCAACGACTCACCATAAATCTGTCTTTTTGAACCAGTCCATTAAACAGTTTCTGTCGTGGCGTCTCAGCTCCAGGAAAAAGTGTCCAAATGAACTTTAAACTTCTCTGACGGGTGATGATCTCTGACCTTTGATTTTCTTATCAACTCAGGGTGGAGTTTTATTTTATTAACTTATAAAATCTCTTCCTGCATGAAGTGATTTGCAAACATGTTTTCCCACAAAGATTTGTTTCTTAAAAGAGACAGTTACATTTTTCATTTTTACATTTTGAACACATTTGTGTTTCTTAAAGGAATTCTACCAAGTATAAATTTTAAAGCTGAAAGCATTTTCATTAATCTTACTTAGTTAAAGCAAAAGTTTATTTTTTATCCCACTTGTTTTAGTCCTAAAGATCACAGCTGATGTGAAGATTTAAGAGCAGCATTACTCAAAATGAACTAACAGCAAAACCTCACATTTCTAAACCAAATGCAACTGTTTTAAATTTATTTAACACTGAAAGCTGCTAACAAGACTTTTCTGTATTTTATCAACTTTTTTTGTTGCATATTTATTGTTGACATAATAAAGTTGAATGTAGTGGTAAAAATAATTATGATTTTAGCACTGGGGTGGGCGCTCAGTTGATAGAGCTGTTGCTTCTCAGCGAAAAGGTTGCTGGATTGAATCCCACCTGGGGACCTTTGGGTGGAGTTTGCATGTTCTCTCCGTGCATGTGTGGGTTTTCTCCAGGTACTCCAGTTTCCTCCCACAGACCAAAAACACGCATGTTAGACTGATGGATCATCCTAAAGTGAAAATTAACACAATCTGAAAGTTATGATAAACAAAACAATAGCTAATGCTTAAAACCAACGAAACAGAAACTAAAATAAAAATGTTAAATTTCAATGAAAACAAAAAAAATTAAAATATATAAAAAAGAAAAGTTGGATATATTAAGTCATAGCGCCAATCTCCTAAGAGTTGAAGTGTTTATATTTAAATGGATAAAATTGTTGAAAGATGCTGAAGTAAAAAAAAAAAAAAAAAGACTGGAGACCTGTCCAGGGGTTCCCCCACGTCTCGCAGTGACCTCTGGACGTGGGCGCCAGTGACCCCCGTGACCCAGAAAGGAAGAAGCTGGTAAAGATGATGGATAGCACTAAAAGACTCTGATGTTGGTGGTTGTTTAGTTTGTTTTTCAGAACTGTCTGATCAGATGTCAATGTTTTATTTCTATAACACATTTAAAACAACTGAGGTTGACCAAAGTGCTTTACAAACCATAAAACAATAAAATATCATAAAACACAAACACAACAGGACAATAAAGTATATAAAGACAACACACGTTCATTTAGTTCTTTTAAAATCTTGTGCTCTGTTTGAATCCAAAGCCAAATGAATAAATTTGGTCTTAAACAAAGTTTTAAAAGTCTTATAGTCTGATCTGTCTGAACATTGAAGGAGAGACTGTTCCAAAGTTCAACGAGGTTAAAATAAACTTCCACTGTGACACTTCCTGTTTAGACTTTAACCCAACATTTTATTGTAATATCAGCAGAGAGAGCAGTTTGATTTATTATCAACCTATAAAAGTCATTCTGAAAACAAAGGCAACAAATCTTCTGATATTTTGTTGTTTTTATTTATGTTTATAAACATGACAAGAAAAAAATGACCTTTAAATATTTATTTAAAAAAAAAAACATAAAAATGATACTCTTGCTGTTGAACTTTTGAAGAGATTCCAGATTCCTCAGCTCCTGCTTCAGACCAGTTTCACCAGTCTCTCACTGGCCTCCCACAGTTTCTTTGCCACACCAGCGTCTCTTGCAAAAGGCCTCAGAGGGGCCGGCTGGCAGTCGACAAAGTAACCTCCGCTGTGCTTGGCAGCTTCATCTGACACGGCACAGTAGATGACGGTCTGCGCTCCGATCTCACACGGCACAAAAAACATCCACATGATCACCTGCATCAGCATCCGGAACAGGAACGAGTAGTGGACTGTCCAGCTGCTCTGAACAAAACCTGCAGGAACAGATTTCAAATATTAAGAGACATCAAGATGAATATTCAATCAAGCTGAAAGATGCATGCTTCTCTTACCAGGGTGCACAGCACAGGAAGTGACTCCTTTTCCCTCAGTGATGCTGGCCAGCTCCTGACTGAAGTAGATGTTGGCCAGCTTGCTGCGGCAGTAGGTGAAGAATGGCAGCAGATTGTAGTTGAGGTCCTGGAAGTCCAATTTCTGATATTAAAATACTTGCACTCTTGAGACGAGTTGGACGACGACGACTCTATTTAGAGGGACAACGTCACACATTTTAAAATCCTGTTTAAAACTCAAGCCACAGGACTGCATGTCTCTACAAGTCTCACAAGGAAAGTTGAAAACGTCCCAGGACTCTGGAGACAAACTACTCTCTGACGAGTGAGACACCACCCTTAAAGTTTAGTAACAGTTTGCAATTTCTACTGTTTTCACAGTCAAAGCATTTACACGAGGAAAACCTAGTCACTTACAACCAGTTAACAGAAAACAAGCACAATAACTTTAAACATTAAGTTTTATTTATTTTGTTCACTTTAATATTACTTGACCATTAAATGACAATCTGACACTTTGGTTAATTTTG